ATATATATGTTTATGGAAATGACCAAAGGAACTCAGCTGTAGCTTCAGATGGTCTTTTTTCAAGGCTGATAAGTGATATCAGAGGAGTGAAGAGCCGATGTTAATGTCAGGTTTGAAAAGGCCGATTGAGTCTGGCTGTCATGAAAGCAATCCTTTCCCTTTGAAGATGATCAGATCTCTGAGATCTTATACAGTAATTTCACAACTGTAAACCGACAACACCTACATACCTTTAGGTTGACTCTTTTCACCCAGTATTTTTTCCTTGGTGTGGACATGATAACAGCCAAAAGAAACATGAACCCAGACAGGCTGTCATGGTCTGTTTATTTTCCTTAGTTTTCTAGTGTTTTCAGTGTTCCCCTGTATTTCTCTGCCCTGCAGCCCCGCCCTCTCTCACCTGTGTCCTCTTGTGTCTGCTCCAGGTGTGTCTTGTTGCCCTAATTAGTTTGCCTTTATATTCTGTGTCCTGTCTTCAGCGTTGGTCCGATCATTGTGCTGCTTGCCTCAGCCAGTGAGGTGTCCTGCGTGTTCCTTGTTGTTCTACTGAGTTTTGCTGCACTGTCAGCTGTTTATTTTGGTTTTCTAAATAAACTCTTTATTTTGCACTTTGGATCCTGCCTGCGCTCTGGGTCATTCTGCAAAACCTCACACAGGCATCTGTTGATCTGCTATCACGCTTTTATTGTTGGGGTTCAAAATATTTCATTACGTTTTGAATTTTGGTAATTTATTTATTTATTTTTAATGATACAAGGCTAGCAGTGTCTGTTTGATCACTTTATGCCACTTTTCTATTATGCTACATTTACACCAAAGGCATTTTGAGCATCAGGAGCATCTGGTTTATATACTAAGTSAATGGTGGACGCRCATCTAGGGGCATCCAGAAGCMGAGCAGCGCGTCTAGMRCATTTRGAGAAGCGCGGTTCGAAGCGTTGCACAAGTTACGAGCGTTTTCCGTGGGTGCGGCACGTCCAAAGCGTCCGATGCTCGAGTTGGAAAATCTGAACTTTTGATGCTCGACGCGTCGCATCAACCAATCAGAGAGACTCTGCTCAGTGACGTACTGGTGATGAGACGGACATACCAGAAGCCCGGGAAATCAGATCACACAAACAATGGAGGAAAAACTGATAGTATGTTAATTTATGATCATTCCAGTGTCCATTATCGTGATAGAAATAAGAAGGACTTTGCCTGGAGGACGATTAGGGAGGAAGTTGGCATGTCTGTTAAGTTATTGAAACTAYGGTTAAAAAGGCTCCTATCGCGTGTCTAAAGAAGCACGTCTACGTTCACATCGAATGCGTCTGTCCTCACTGGACACCAGCATCGAGATGCGTGCGTTTTGAGATTTTCGGAGGCGYGCACTGCKTTTGGTGTGAATGTAGCATTATTTAGTTTGCTGACAGCTGTACCAACACAGCTGGCCCTTTTACCTCGTCTCGAATCAACCCTACATGGGTCGGCCCAGAATTGATTCAACGTCTTTACACTGGGTGCTCCCACTCACATTCAACCCTAATCTTAGAACCTACTGCTCCATGATTCCAAGCGGGCCGAGTTGAGCTGAATATTCAACGACATCAGACATCAGCACCGGTATAAACGRCAACAAACACGACAAGTGTGCTTCACTCTGATCATAATAATAAACTACTTATATGGAAGGAAAAGATCAACTTGTGTTTTATTACAGAAGTTCTAATGATGAAAATGTTTTGTGTTGCCTACTGTAGAGTTACTTAAAGAACATCTGCTGCCTGGCAGGTTAATGACTTTTGCACTCGGTTCAATGTAAGTAAAACTTTAAATTAAGTTCTGTTCGTAATCTGTCTTTTCTATGAGGTAAATTCAACAAAAGTTGCCATGATCTCYGTTATCTTTAAAGTGCCTGTGACCTCAAATTTYTGTAATACATAYGTATGAATGCATTTTTGAAAAGAYGACATTGATAAAATATTGCAAAATTAATTTCATGCCGGTGAAATGAACAGTTGCTGAGATATTTGCCTGTAAAGTAACAGGAAGTGATGTCAAAAGGGAATGTCTGAATGTGAACAGAGCAKTGCTACAACAGCCAACAACACAGACTGTAGAGAAGAATCTGATGTTTCTTAAGATTATTTTGAGTCACTATCAGAGAGAGTCAGAGTTCAAATAATATTGTTTCATTAAACAAAGACCAGAGAGTTTTCTTTGTTAAARAGTTCCCCTTTGATGTCACTTCCTGTTTCACTTTGGCTGAGTCAAGTTCAAAAGAAAATATGCCAGTTAAGGGGCAAAATGGGTAAAATCATGTGTATTATTCCAACTTTCTTAAATATAAAGATGTTTTCTTTGACATTTTGTATTTGAAGAATATGCATGTCACAGCTACTTTGAGTTCAACTGAGAATCGGCTGGTAATGTTAGTGAATTGGTTAGGGTTAATGCATAGGGCACAAGACTACTGAGATTAATATCATGGGGAAAAATCAATCTCATGCCATATGAAACAATATTACAAAATTTAAATGAAATAAATCCAAGATCAATTTATTATTTTTTTTATGCTGCCCTATTTTTGTTAAGCTGCAATGAATCTCAACGAGCGGACTCAAACTCATTCTGAATCGTACTGTATCAGTTTTTGCAACACTTGTGTCTTTAATAGATCACGTGAAGTGTATCCAGATGTGTAGTGTATCAGGCACAGACAGGAGATAAACAACACCAGCCTTTCTTTGACCCACAATCCATTTACCAGACGTCTTTTTCCTAAACTGCACCCACTCCTAAGGGTAAACCGTTAAGGAAAAAGAGGAGAAAAAGTCAGCCTACCTTGACATCGACGTGGGCCATTAAGACCGCAAAGTTGGTGAGATGGGTGCAGGAGCATGTGGTGTGTGTTCTGTTGGTGCTGAGCAAGCGGCAGTCCTGAGTCGACCAGTAGCCCATCATGGTTCGCTTGGAGTAACTCCAGAATGAACAGTTGGGGTTGAAGTTTTCCTCGGATTGCTGTTCAAAAAGTGAAATAAAACAAAACCATGAATTTATTAGAAGAATCAATGTGTTGCTTCGCTGTGTGAAACTACGCATATTTGAGATTAATCACAAGTGGTACAAATTTGATTTCATTTGTTTTCACAGTAAATACCCCTTAAAAGGGGGATAATTTAACATTCTGCAACACTTTTTTAATTCTTAAGTGAATAGCAAGCACTTTTACTGTCATAAAGCGTCAAGCGCCCATGTGCCTGTTTTTCATTGTGTTTTTTGACCTTTCTCTTTAACTTTCACTGCATGACAATGGACTGCCCTACTGTTTAATAGGCACCACTGGTGTCTGTGTTGGGCTGCGGTCCTAATGACAAGCAGGCCTCCCCGCTATCTCGCTTGCCATTTGATAAAAGTCATCCACGACACAAAGGCTTAATAACACGACCAAATGTAACTGCTGATAAATAGATACACTGAAAGCCTTCTCCTCTTGAGCCCAATTTCTTTTGAACAGCAGCTGCAGGAACAAAACAAGTATGCCCACTTTTCCTTTAAAGCATCCAAGGTTAAACATATCTACCTTCTTACTGCCAACATGCATTTTATTCTTTTTATTTGTAGTCGTACTTTTTGTCGCACATTAATGAGACTAGTACGGTTCATCCTCTGTGATTGCAGGTTTTCCTATAATTGCATTTACCCTTCACAGATTCAAACTTTGCGTAAACCATTCCACGGCAAGGAGATAGGATGACCCTCTGTCACCAKTAATGGCTTTAATTGGTCCCATTAAACGACAGAGGCAAGGAAGCGAAACAATAACTAGAGGACATGTAATCATCCCAGAAGACCAGTAGACCAAAACCTCATAGTTAAGAGGGGGAATTAACTGGGAGAAGGCACAGACACAGAAACCCCTCATCAGTAGCAGTATATACGGTGTGTAATGTTTTGTTTTAATGGTGGAACTGTAATAAATGCAGGGATGGGCGGAGAATTATGAATATTTCAGGTCTAATTAAAATGGATGAAGTGAAATATTAATGTGACCATTACAACTATCTTTTAAAATTGTACTGTTTTAAACAACTCAAAGCATCTCAGGGTCTGTTTCTGCTGTTGTACTTTATTTTGAAAGGATTACAAAATAGCAACATTGGTTACAGGCTGGGGCGGAATGGCATACAAGTCTACTGGGAACCTTTTTTTTCCCCAGTGGACCAATGGGTTTGTGGGCGAATGTGCTGAGAGTGGTTCGGCCTGTAGAGGTGCTGCCGCTCTCGGCCCTGTGGTCACCACAGTGTGTGCTTGTTGTGCGGCGCCACTATGCATCTATAATAGCTGGGTTTTTATAGTCCCATATAGTTTTAATTTTATAAGTCTTTTTATAGTTCTAATGCAAAAAGTACTTGGTTCCAGTACTCTATATTGGTGAGTACATAAACTGTAGTACTTGTTCTCATACTAGTTTTGAGAAAAACTGGTATTGGGACACCCCTAGTCACAAGTAACCCAGATCTTACTAAAAGAATTACTCCCCTACCACCATCTCAACTCCATGGTAATCCATTCGACCTGTGAAAATAATGGAATAGATCCCCGGATACTAGGATTAGCAGCAGCCCACATCTCTGTACTTGAAGCTTTTGTTTAACTTGAGAGTATTTCAGCCGCAGGACTTGGGCAGAAAAAAACAATCCACTATCCAAGTCCAAACTGTGCAGACACGATCATGTTTTAAGCAAAAACATGAAACAGGAAACAGCCCTAAGCCATAAAGCAGCAGCTGAGATTAGTGCTTGATGAGACTACTTTGATCTACTTTTAAAGAATTTGTAGTTGTGCTATGATTATTTCCATGTATGTGTATGGCTGCTGTATGATGTTGCAGCCCATTATCTCTTTGTTTTCTAGACACACAACCAAATGTGGCGCCATTTCTCTCACTCTTTATATTGATGATAGCGGTGTCAAACTTAGATTGCGCACTAAAATGAACTTAGCGCAAAAAGGAAGGAAATTAGTGTTTGTTAGGTTTTTTATTTGTTGTAACAATGCTTCTTGGCAATAAATCTTACAATAGGCAAATGATTGGCAGCACCTGGGGGTACTAGAAGCTCAAAATAAGAGTTAATAATAACGGCAAAAAAAGGCTGTTTGGCAGAGAAGATTTGGCAAATTTTTCATGTGCTCAACCCACAAATGCATGTTCCATACAAATGTGGCCCCATTGAAAAGGGAAATTAACAGACTTTTCAACAGTATATGACTTATTGCCAAGCAGCATTGTTACAACAAATAAACACCAAATACACCAAAATCTACCAAACACCTCATGCATTGTGCTGTTTATAATCTCCAGCCGAGTTAAGCGTGTTTTTCTCTGTTTTTTCACATGGCATTGCTGTAGTTTAGCAATTAATTAAAAGAATGAATCACTTTTTATATTAAAAAAAATCAAAGACAATGTTCCTGTGGGTGTGTTCATGCTTGGAGAGCAGAGACCTGTTAAACGTCTCATAATAACACCTCTGATTGGTTTACCAGAGCGCAGAGCCCTTGATTTGATGTGCCTGTCAATATTGTGCATCAATATTGCATCCAATCAAGTTTAATTAGCAGAGGAAGCCATATTCAGGATCATGAATAATATGTGATTAATTGTACAGCTCCTGGCTTACACAAAATGCACTTTATATGGAAATGTACCTACGTAAACAACATATTTCCATGATGGAAAAAAACAAAAAGAAGAAAACATGAGGCGGTAGCTCTTTCTGGCTAAATCTGGTGTTACAAGTAAAATAAGTTTGTTGGCAAATAGGACGYAGATTTATTGAAATAACTTGAACTCGGCAAGAAAAGGTTGGGAAAACGTAGTAAAATTAGTGCTCAAATTACAAATTTCTTTTTAGGGCGGGTAAGTCAGAGCAATAACTGCTCTGAAACCGTCCTTTGACATTTCCCCACCATTTAATTTTAACATCCTTGAGCTATAGTCCTTTTACTTTATCTGCTGTTCCTGCACGTCCCTCCTACACAGAAGGAGAGGGGAAAAAATTGCTCTTGCAGTTGTTCAACATCTCAGATAATCGCTGGAGGAGCTGTTTGTAGACAAAACAGGGATATTTCGAGGGTAGCAAAGTGTGGAGAAGATAATGGAGTCGAGAGAGAGAAGTCACGGCTCCCCGCGATGACTAAGCAGCTTCCAGTGAGGGCGAAGGCACGACTGATGTTTGTTCAGGAGCTCAGGCTGGTTTTATAAACTAATAAACAGCAGCGTGCTTTCGCCATCATGTCGGGAGAGATGCCGCATTCTGACAGTTTAATTTTCACACCTTTCCCAGAGTAAAACATCTTCGTTTTACTTAGTTAACATTTGCGTTGCACTTCAGGGTGAGAGGGAATTCTGATAAAAGGTTCTATCATGTAAGTGTATTTTCCGTGTAAACAAATGTATAGAGACAAAAAACCCATTATATTCTGAGTCGCTGACATACACAGTTGCGGTCAGAATGTACCAGTATTCATCAGAGGCATAAATGAAAACACTCACTTAAACCCTTTATTAACGGGTGCTGAAGGTTCAAAATGATGTTTTAACTTGACAAAATCAAGGCTTTTTCGTGTTAGTGGTCAGGACTGACTGTAGCTGGTAGCTTGTCTTTGTTGGCATAYAGAGTATTTGTTGGACTTCATCTGTCAGCCGCAAGTGAAAGGAAATGAGTATGTTGAGGAACATCCTGGGAACCACCAAACAAGAACAGCCAAAATAGTACTGTGTGCAATTAATTGTCAGTAAAACTGTCAACAATTAATATTTACCGCTTTTGCAATTACTGCAATTAGTGCCATTTGATGACAAATTTTTGTGCGCAACACACCATCACTGTTGGGTGTTTATGTGAGCCCAATRGTGGAAGACAAAGTGGAGCAGCTAACCCTAYAAACTTGTTTAATCRCCTGAAACACAGGCATAAACTGAAGTAAGAGGAAAGCCAGAAAATGCATAYCAAGGCCATGACCTTGGCCACATGCAACTCTCATCTATTAATCGTCGCATTAGTTGYTATTGGCTAAATGCCACAGTTATTTGTGATAAGTTTTTTGCTAATATGGCCCAACCCTAACAAAGACTCAAGTCTTCAGTAAACTGGAAACCAAGGAGGGTCTATAGAACTGGAGTGCGCAGAGAAACCACGTGACCGTGTGATCGGCTGGTGAAGCTAACGGCTAACGCTAAACGGTCAAGCGTCTGGATTTCTCATTACTGTACATGTTGGTAACAGAGCAGAAAAAAGGACTGACGATGTAGAAATGATTAAAACTGTTAATAATAATACTAACCCAATTATTATTAATGCTTTACAGTTTGTATAATCTATCTAATGTTTTAAATAATGCCAGAAAAGCTGTTTGTGTTATGGATTTATTAACAGAAGATAAACAGGAAAACGTCTCATTTTACAACACAAGTCAGCAGATTTGATCTTATTTAGCTCAATGTGATCTGAGCAGAACATAATGTAACAGTTAAAAATTAAAATAATCTTATAAAGTCGATGTAATCACTGTTATTTATTGAGCTGGTTAGCAGATATTAGCTTGTGGAGGATATATATACAGATCTGTTGAATCATGCTACAATTTAACACAACCTATTAAATATTACTTTGTCCTCTGATTAATATTC